TTAAACAACATTGCATGAGCGTAATGACTATATCATCTTGTCTACACTATTTTACTCATTGCACGTGCACGCACGTGCATGATGACCATACCTTCTTGTAGGAGTCCATTATGCCTGTCCATGTTCTTAATCCCATCCTGTTTGGTTGAAAAACAAGGGAGTTATAGCCATTTAAAGTTTAAGCCAATCAGATTGCAGTGCACGTGCATGCGCGTGTTTCCCTGACAATTATTATATATCATATTGTAGGACATCTTAATGTATGCCTATGTTTTAAATTTCAAAGCATTTTGTCAAAAACAGAAAAGATATTGAGATTTTTGTTTTAGCCAATCAGAGCAAAGCGCACGTGCACGCACGTGCACGCACGTGCATGCATGTTAATGTTGACCATACCAACTTCTAGGAGTCCTTTATGTCTATCTATGTTCTAAATCCCATCATGTTTGGTTGGAAACCAAGGGAGTTATAGTCATTTAAAGTTTCAGCAAATCAGATTGCAGTGCACGTGCATGCACGTGATTTCACGAAAATTTTTATATACCATTTTGTAGGGTATCCTAATGTATGACTATGTTATAAATTTTAAAGCATTTCATCGAAAAACAAAAAAGATATTGAGGTTTTTGTTTCAGCCAATCAGAGCAAAGCGCACATGCATGCGCGTGAGTTCATGCAAATTTGACCATGTCATCATATCTATACATCTTATATATCCCTATATAATGAGTTTCAAAACATTTCATAAAAAAATATAGAAGTTACACCTATATTAAATATATCAGTCAATTCACTCATTTCACGCGCACGCACGTGCATGCGTATGCGCGCAAAATGACCTTCGTTCCGCACACCTACACTACACACCTATTAACCCTAAAAAGGTTTTAGCTCAGTTGGGTGAACAGTTTCTGAGAACACTCGCGGACAAAAAAAGTACCGGAGAAGAAATAAGAAAAAAAATAATAATAATTTCAAATTTAAGCAATGCAGGCTTGTGCATGTGATTGCATGAGCGTAATGACGATATCATCTTGTCTACACTATTTTACTCATTTGCACGTGCACGCACGTGCATGATGACCATACCTTCTTGTAGGAGTCCATTATGTCTGTCTATGTTCTTAATCCCATCCTGTTTGGTTGAAAAACAAGGGAGTTATAGCCATTTAAAGCTTAAGCCAATCAGATTGCAGCGCATGTGCATGCGCGTATTTTCATGGCAATTACTATATATCATATTGTAGGACATCTTAAAGTATGCTTATGTTTTAAATTTCAAAGCATTTTGTAAAAAAACAGAAAAGATATTGAGATTTTTGTTTCAGCCAATCAGAGCAAAGCGCACGTGCACGCACATGCATGCATGTGAATGGTGACCATACCATCCTGTAGGAGTCCTTTATGTCTATCTATGTTGTAAATCCCATGCTGTTTGGTTGAAAACCAAGGGAGTTATACTCATTTAAAGTTTCAACCAATCAGATTGCAGCGCACGCACATGCACGTGATTTCATGAAAAATTTTATATATCATATTGTAGTACATCCTAATGCATGTCTATGTTAAAAATTTCAAAGCATTTCATCATAAAACAAAAAAGATATTGAGATTTCTGTTTCAGCCAATCAGAGCAAAGTGCACGTGCATGCGCGTGAGTTCAGGCAAATTTGACCATGTCATCTTATCTACACAACTTATATATCTTTATATAATGAGTTTCAAAACATTTTATCAAAAAATATAAAAGTTACAACCATATTAAATATATCAGTCATTTTACTTATTGCACGCGCCGGCACGTGCAGGCGAATGCGCGCAAAATGACCTTCGTTCGGCACATCTACACAACATGCCTACTAACCCTAAAAAGGTTTTAACTTAGTTTGGTGAACAGTTTCTGAGAACACTTCCGGACAAAAAAGTACCGGAGAAGAAATAAGAAGAAAAAAGAATAATAAATAATAATAATAAGAAACAGAGTAAAAACAATATGTTCCCCAACTTCGTTTGGGGAACATAATAACTAGATAAGAAACTCGTTGCGAGCAACGAGAGGTCTTCCGTCCGATTCTGAAAAAAAACCCTAAAATCGAGCTGAAAAAGTGATAAAACTTTTTATGGAAACAAAGGGGATTGAACCCGGGTCGCCAGCATGAAAATCCAAAGCTCTTACTATTACGCTATTGGGACCACAGGTCTAAATCTACTTGTATATACTTCTGAAACAGTACATCTGTCTTAGAATAATGAAAGGCGGTCACTATTCGTAATTTTGAGTCAAACGCCACAAGTAAATCTTCGCGCCTTTTCTTTGGAATGTCCCATTAAATAGGTGTGATAGCTTCAATGCAAATAAAAAAGAACGTTCTTATAACTAAACTTTCAAGGTAAAGAAATTGTTTTTAACACATTTACAAATTCTATGACGTAAATAGATAAGTAACATTAAATCAGCGAAACTCCTATTTTCTGTTTATCCCCATACTGAACTATCCTGATTAGTTAAAGTTTCATGAAAAGGTTGTCAAAAAATCAGATACCATTTATGTTCAATAACTTAAATCTATTTTTTGAGACAAGAATATTAATATAAACTCAATTCTTCTAAAAACAGTTTTCTTATATTTGTCTTTCCTATTAGTTTAATATGACTCAAGTGTTCATGAGGAAAACAGTGGATACGTTTAATACTTATTATATACATCGATATTGTTTCTTAAAACTATTATTTGTATTTATGATTTAAGATCTGTTTTTCCGCAAAACAAATGATAGTAGGTATGTATTTCATTTGCACATTTAGTCTTTTCTTTTTCTACTATGAGAACCAGTCAAAACCAATTATAGAAGACGTTTGATACGACCATGGATTCAAACTTAGTTTGACACAGAATTGCAACGTAACTACATCGTGACAATCCCCGTATTCCTTTACATTTCATTTATCCTTATTTACTGTCGTTCAAGCAAACGCTTGGCTGCCTCTGAAAACCCCTATTGCGAAATGTCGGAGTTGACATAGGCAGCCGCCATATTGGACCCGCTTCAGATTTTTAAATGTTAATATCTAAAGTTTGGATTTATCAATGTTCAAACAAATTATATAGTAAGCATTGTAAGAACGGTTTCTATTAACATTCCAAAAATAAATGAAAAATATTGAAAAACAAAAAAGTTAGAAAATACGGACTTTTTAAATTCGCTTCCGCTAGCGACCGGAAGTACTGACGACACACGAAAAGGTGATTCGTCACATTTTAAAGTCATCATCTTTCATCTCTAACAAGTCTCCAGTTAATGTCTTAAACCATTTTCGAAAAAAATGGGGGGACAAAATTGCATTTTAAAATCAGAAAAGTGTCAATAACTTGGAACCAAAGGTGAGTATTCCAAATTTTCCTTGTCATGCCACAACTACATATAATGGCGAATAATTCCTGAAAGTTTCACTGAAAACCACTGAATAGTTTTCGAGAAATCGCGTGCACAAAATTTTGGGGAAAAAAATAAGAATAATAATAATAAGAAACAGTAGAATCACTAGAAGGTCTTCCGTGAAGACGGAAGACCTTAATAATAATAACTAGACTCTTGTTGCCATGGCAACAAAAAAGTCTTCCGTTCCTGTATGATACCGTTTGCATTGATTTTTGTATGTAGAGAAACGTGTACATTATGTAATAAATTTAAAATTGTAAGAAACCAAGATTGTCATTTCGGTACTTACAGTCCTTTGATTTTTACTGCAAAAATGAATGTATCTGTTGTCCCTCTGCGTACAATATTTTTTTGGTTAAGAAGCATATTTAAACTTTCTTTAAATTAAAAAAAATAAATGCGGAGTATCTAGAAGACAACGTCTCAGAACTAACGGTACTTTGATTTTCACTACAAAAATGAAAGTATTCACCGTCCTCGATATATACACATGACATATTAAAATACGTGTTTATATGAATTGAATTTTTGCATTCAAAGAAAGATTTACATAAGTCAAAGTAAAATAAAATAGTTAATATCCTTTCAGTACTTGCGGTACTATGATTTTTATTGACTGACAAAAATAAGCTTCCATAGGTAACTTATTGTATGCATTGATGTTTATGTGTACGGAAAATCATGCCTGTTTATGCTACATAGATGTACATGAACACTTGAGTGAGAAAAAGGTTGGTATCTAAAACAGTTTTCTCAGTACTTTAGGTACTTTGATTTTCATTACAATTATGTTATATTAATCCTAATATAAACGAGTCTGTATGTTTTGATTTTTGTATGCAGAAAAACATGTAAACGTTACCTTCACGTAATTTAAAGTAAGAAATGCCCCTTTAGTACTTTCAGTACTTTGATTTTATAAATGCAAAACGAAAGTAGCTGAAATCTAAAAAACGCATGATCTGATTTCAAAACAAATTATATATTTGGCTATTGTGGACCTATCTCTGTTATGCCTAGAAATATCTTGAAAAAATAATTAAAAACAAAAAAGTCGAAAATTGACCGAAATACAAATTCACTTCCGGTGCGGACAGGAAGTATCAGAAACACACGAAAACTACTTTAAAACAAAGAGAATGTCATGACCTAATAATCCTGTAAATTTCTCATCTTTACCTCAACCCGTTCTTGAGAAAAATTCCGGACAAAAATTCATTTTAAATTTAGAAAATCGGCCATAACTTCGGACCGGAAGTAAATTTTTCAAAAAATGGAATTTTATATAAACTTCATATATCAGCCTACTAACACGTGAAAAATTGTGAAAATCTATCCAACCATCTCTGAGTAATCGCGCTCACAAAATTTGGGAGGAATAATAATAATAATAAAAAGAAACAATACAATCACTATAAGTATTCCGTTGTGAACGGAAGACTTAATAATAATAAGAAACCGAGTAAAAACAATATGTTCCCAAACTCCGTTTGGGGAACATAATAAGAAACAGAGTAAAAACAATATGTTCCCCAACTTCGTTTGGGGAACATAATAACGATATGGATATACTTGATACTTTGCTGCAAACAAGTATATATGCACCTAAAACAAAACAATTCCTCCATAAATAATACGGTGATTAGGAAAGACATTAACTACAGTACTCTATTATTAATTTAATGAGGAAATGAAAGCAAGTACATGGTAGCTAATAAAGAGTCTGTAGAGGGAACACCGCGGATAATGAGATTCAGTGACTTTGCAAATCCTACATCAACATCAGCATATAAAAGCCCTTGAAACTGCAGAGCAACTTGACAGTACCTCTAGAAGACTTCATTGAATTTATGTAGCTGAACAGGGTAATAAAGTTTCTGAATTTTAAAATATAATATTAGCAGATTGGAACAGGACTACAATTAATAATGCTTTGATATCATATGTACTAAGAGTAAAAAAAAGAATTCAGGATCTAAGAATCCATCTAATTCATTCTCAATAGATTACGCATGTTATTTTTTAAAAATGTATAAAGTTTTAAGTTTGGCTAACAGGTACTTCCAATTCCTTCAATTTCAGATCTTTATTAAATCCAGGAAACAGTTCTCTTGCTCCTTATAATGAGAAAAATCCATTCATCAATCAGTTAAAAGCTGGAAACTCAGACCGTCTGCAGAATATTATTAATTCTTTTAATTGCCAAGTTAAACTTTAATATTTACCCTGAATATTATTCAAATGACACTCAAATGAACGTGCAAACACTATACAGTGAAGAATATAATCATTTTTTTTATAATTTCAAATATTACATGGTACTCATAAACAATGTTTGAATAAAAAGTTGTAATCTTTATAAATAACTACATTTATACATGTAATGTGTATTAATATTAAATAAAAATTATCTTGTAAGTTGTTTTTTTTGTTTTGTTTTATACTACTACAGTGAAATGTGTGACTTTTTATAAGTGAAAAAGGTCGTTGCTAGCTTCCCCCCCCCCTCCCCCTAAAAAAAATCAGAAAAGTTGACAGGTATGATTTTTGTCTTCTTTTTTTCCGTCCTCCGACTTGACCTTTCTTGAAAAAAAAATCCGTAAAACTAAAAATCAAATTATGGTCGCCTTATACTATGAAAATGTAGTTCAGTATATTGTAATTGTATAGTGAAGTAATATTTGATTTTTGTATAGGGAAGTCATTGTATCTTGGATCGACAGAGTGTGTCAATACCATATACATGTTTAAAAGGTATTTATTTTATTAATATTCATGCTTTGCACAAATTAATCATTTTAAGAAAAAGTAGATTTTTCATAATATGTCATTATTTGCCACTTTCTCTTGTTCATAAAAATATAATTAAAGAGTATATTACAAAAGTTATTCTCTCAATCTATTGAAACGGTTGAGAGTTATCTCCCTTGTGCTTTATTGTATAATCAAGAAATAATTGTAAATTATGTAATTAATCGCTTATTTGATTAACTGACTTTACAAAGCGCTGGCCTTTACCGTTCAAAAGTTATGGCCAAGGTTTAAGTTTTTAAAAAGTAGTTGAAACTCCAAAGTCAAGGTCAAAGGGTCAAAGTTCTTGATATAAAATGAAAGGTTTTGTCAAAAAGATTAAATCTTTGAAGTATTAATGCCCTAGTCCTAGCCCTTCAAAAGTTACGGTCAATGTTGTATTTTTAAAGTAGGTCAAACTCAAAGGTCAAGGTCAAAGGGTCAAGGTTCTTGGTATCTTATGAAAGGAATTTTCACAAGGATTACATATATAAAGAATGAAATCCCTAGTTCTCATTGTTCAAAAGTTATAGCCAAGGTTGAAGTTTTTTCATAGGTACGGAAATCTCCAAGGTCAAGGTCAAAAGGTTAAGGTTGTTGGTATCCAATGAAAGTTTTTTTCCACAAATAATACATAAGCTTAGTATAAATGTCCTGATATCTGTTGTTCAGAAGATATGGCCAAAGTAAAAGTTCAAATTTTTTGTGTTAAAGTGAGTCAAACTCCAAGGTCAAGGTCAAATCTGGTGGTACCAAAAAAAAGGTCTTGTCACAAGGAATACACTTGTGAAATATGAATGTCATAGTTTCACTTAATCAAAAGTTATAGGCAAGATTAAAGTTTTAACGGAAAAACAAACAGAGAGACAGACAGACAGACTGACGGACACGAGAAAAACTATATACCCCCGAAACTTCGTTTACGGGGGCATAGAAAAAAAGAGATTGACCCGATTCCTGGTTGTGAGCAGTTGCGTACAGTGAACAAAAAATTGTCAAAAAATATTGAAGCAAAGGTAATGCAGGCCCCACTCAGTGAGATTCGAGTAAAATTTAAAGAATGTGTCTTCCAAAGAAAAACTTGAAAAGATTTTGTGAGTGACCGTTCCGGTGGACGGACGTGTTTTTCAGGGGCTCCGCAAAAAACCTAATATGTTATTAACTTGAAGAGGCTTTATACCTTTGGAATATTTGTTTAATCGTTAGCAACAAACTTGTTTGCATATTAAGTGGAATGTATTTCCAAAAGATTTGGTGGTGATGAGCAGAAAATGGGAGAATAGTCGAAGAAGCGAAAAACCCAGAGTAATGGAAGTGAAAGTGAGGTTAAAAGTGCTCAGCAGGGCCCGCAGGAATCACTCAGCGAGGCCATAGGACAGGCCGAGAGAGTGTTATATGGAGAAAATAATGATCATAATGACGATGCATGTACTCGAGTACATCTTAATGTAAATTTTGTTTTGAGGATTTGAAGCAATAGATTCAAGGATCATTATCTGTTTGAATTTCAAACAAACGTGGATAACTACAATTACTGATATTTTAAAATAATTGTTCAGATATTCTTACACGCTGTCGTTTTTACTCATTTTTCAAAACATATGGTGACCTTCGAGTACTTAGCTTTTTTACTGTCAAACGTTTCTTTAAAACAGTGTGAACTACTCCCGAAATGATGTCTATCAAATTTGCTATGTGTCTTATATTCATTCATACATCAGTGATTATTTGTTGAAATTTGGCAAACAGTACATTAGTTGTTATAATTTTTGTTGGCAAGGACGTAACCCATTTTTGATGCCCATTATATAATCTTTATCATTGAAATCAATCTGCTCATTTGTCCTTAAAACAGAAATTGGTTGCAGTAAAATTTACATATTCCAGTGAATATTTCTTTGGAATTCTTAACAAGTTTTACAGCAGCTTAAATGAAGTGTTTACTTTTACTCTAGTTCACTGATTCTTTAAAATCCATTTGTAATGCAGTGTCTCGAATAGCCCTTGTTTTCAAGCTTCTCACAATGAAACTATGTGATGAAAAGTGGTCACAAAAATTCATTAAGATCCAATAATGAGAAAAAATCAAGCTGAATGTCATATGATATCTGTATTGTATGTCATACAGTTCAGGGCATTATTTATTGAACACCCCTCGAATACAGTGTACTTCATGGAAATAAAGAAACAAAATATTGATGGAGAAGGATATGGAGATAACGAACAGTATTCAATATCGAAGTCCATAAAAAAAATTGAATACAAAATAGGAGCAGAGCAAACACGGTCCCCCGAAACATCAGAGGTACGATCAGGTGCCTTAGAGTTATTTTTTCTAATGGTAAAGTTAATTTTTTTACTCTGATGGATAACCTCCCGTAGGCATGGTAGGTCACACATTCTACTTTTGACGAGGTATGGTAAGCATGTGATTAATATTCTAATTTCTACTAAACAAACAATAAAATTTCATTTCATATTTAGTCCCGAATGCATAAAGGAAAGTAAAAATGAACATTTGATCTTTGAATTCTTCAAATCATTTTTTAGGAAGAAATGCCGTTACTCGCGGATACATTTGACAACTCAGGTAGAATTTTCGAGAATTTTAAATGTAAAAAGTGTAAAATCATCAAGTAAAACATCATTGCCCAAATTTATAAGATGTACTCCATCAACTCGAAGTATAAATATTTTTTCTAACAAATTATATTTGGATGTAATTGTTTATATAATATTTTCGTTTTCAAATTCTGAATTCTATTTTTTTTTTGTTAATTAATACATTATTTTAAATATCCTTCCAAGTTTACCTTCTTCAAGTAAGTTTTGGTAGTGAATCTTTAATTGTAAGTTTACATTTTGGAAATTCTTTCATAATTGTAGTTAAGTCTCTTTCAATAATTGGAAAAAATCTTTTTGACCAAGCACATTTGATGCCATTTGACCTCAAATGAATTATAATACAACCTGAATCTTGAAAAGGAAATTTTGATTTGCAAAAAATTGATAGTTTTTAATAATTGTTCCCATTTCATTCCTCTAATTTTCTTCCCCCAAAATCCAAGTTTGTTTATCTTTAGGAAATTCTTAATTTCTTGTATATGTATTTTAAAAAGTAGTTATGTCCATTTAGTTTATTCAGCCCAGTACACAATACAAGACCCTACAACTAAGACAGTATATTTTTTGAACATTTGAAAAAAAAGGTCTGGTTGGTTTGTCAAACCCGTAAGAATACTAGTACTTTTGTCTAGTAAGAAGATGGGCGAACAAGGCGGGCAAAATGCCTATAGCGTCAGATATTAAGAAATCATATTAAATATGTGAATTGATTATTTAAATTAACTTCTAATTATTGAAATTTTTGAAAGTATGAGAAAAAAAACTTTTCTGCGAGAGAAAAAATCTCGTAAAAAAATTTCTTTCATAAAATTATTAGATGGTATTCGTGGGATTCGAACCCTAGCAATAAAAATCCGACGTATGAATGGCATACTGCTTTGTGACTAACGCGTTAACCACTATGCTACACCGCTCATTGTGATTTTACGCATTTAAATCATGTTTGTGATATGGCCATTGACTTAATGGACTTAAGGTATTTCTTGGAAAGATGTGAATGTTTTGTCATAAAACTGTACTTTTAAGGTATAGTGGGTCTTCGCTCCATTTTTTTGAAAAACAAAAAATGTGTATTTTATTGCACACTTTCAGGATCATCTTTCAAAAAAATGGAGAGAAGACCCACCCATATTGAAAAATTTTATTTAAGTATGAGAAAATGATCGTTTTTTGTTCTGTTTAGTGTGTGTAAGCTTTTTCATAGGCAAATATTTTCAGTCTTTGTGAGATTTTTGTAAATTGTAGAGATTTTACATAAAGTATACTTTAATATTAGATGAAATATCAAGTAAAATTTGGATTCAATTGAGATTAAAATTTTCACTTCTTATCTGTCGCACTATAGGCATTCTGCCCGCCTTATTCGCCCATCTTCTTTCCAGTGAAGCAGTGACTGATTGCCCCCCCCCCCCCTTTACTGTAATAAACTATTCTACATGAATTACTCTTAGGAATTTTTGATTGGTAGTTTCCACCGAAAATGCTTGGTTGTGCCCACAAACTGAAATAATTCTCAAATTTTTTGACCAAACAAAATTTGATTAGCCCAACTCAATAAATTTTTTGCATACAAAGAAGGCAATGTTGTGTGTTATGTGGTATGTAGTTCATGTAGTAGTTTTGTAAAATCAATATTAAACACATCGTTTTCACTTTAAATTAAAGAAGAATATTTCTTAAATAAGGTCCCTTCTCGGGTTTTTGAGAGATTTACCAGAAAATTAATGAAGCTATGCAATAATTTGATTTTTGAAATAATTGAAATATTAAAGCCGCTTAATACGAAACAGGCACATATTATCTTACACAATAAAAGTACGTCATTACTTAGGAAATATATAAAAAATAAATTTTAAGATTGATTTAATAGTTTATTAAAACAATCCTTACAAGGAAAACATAGATCAAAAACTTTATTGACAAACAGAAGTTCCTCAACGGTAATTTAAGATCTCGCTGTCGTGATCACTGTCAATGTCGTGATGTCACCTTAAAAAAAAATAATTTATCGGTGATATCTAAGTATGAAGAACAAACCTGAGTATTTTTTTTTTCATTAGTAGAAGCCTAAGTCACAATATATCTTTTTAAAA